ACTTGTACTACCCTAACATAACATTTGAAATGTTGATTCAATTACGTTATGGTAACCTTTATTCAAAATATTATGTTCTATATGTTACTATTGTATTTATTAAATAGTGGAGAAGTTTTACAAAGTTGATGGTTTTTCTTCTTTCAGTGGGACAGCTATTCTCAACGCGTCTTTGAAGACCTCATTTCTGCTATTGTGCCATGTTGGTTGTCTAAAACTGACAGTATGGATGCATTGCTACAGGTATTGTGGTACTTGGAATATCCCCCCAATAAACTTTCAATAGTTTAGATACTGATACATTAACCTCTTACCTTTCCAGATATTTGTGAATTTTCTGCCCAAAGTGTCTGAACATCGGAGGCTTTCAATTATTACGCACCTTTTGAAGTATGATCTCATTTTGTTTTGAATTTTGATTCTCTGCCATTAGCTTCTGCTAACAATCTTCTTACACAGGAACTTAGGCGAGAATACTAGTTTGGGATCACTTTTCTTCCTCCTCTTCCGTTCCGTCATCTCAAGAAAGAGTTCGTCTTGCACTAGTGGTGCCAGTCCTTCTTTGGGTTATATAACCTCTACAATTAGTATGGAATGGGAGTATGCATTTGCTGTGTTGTTGTCTGAGCAATATCCATGCACAGTATGGCTTCCCTCCATTGCCATTCTGCTTCAGAAAATAGGAATAGATTGTGAAAGTGAAGAATTGTTTATGGTCTTGGTAGTTGCAGAGCATTTTGTTTCAAATAAGCTGCAAGATCCTGAAATTGCCTTTATGCTTGATTCTGGAGATGGCTCAGAAAGCATTCAGGTTTGCATCTATTGTTAATTCAATTTATTGCATTATTATATGTGCATTGCTAGAATTCTTTAGTGATATTGTTTTGAATTTTTCTTCTTAAATTTTTTTACTGTGTTTTGAAAGTATTTTGTGCTTTATTCTTGAATGACAATTCTTATGTTTCTTGTTTGCAGCCATCAATTGGTGTAATTTTGGAAAAAATGGTCTCTCATCTGCAACTGGTGGAATCCAATGGAAAGCAGATGAGTGCTCCTCTAATCAGGAAGGAACTGAAGGAGCGCATACGCTCTGTCTTAAAGGCAATTGCAAAGTGCCTCAGACCATCAATATACTTCAAAATTGTTATACAATTACTTGGACATGCAGATATTAATGTCAAAAAGAAGGTAAAAGAGTTCAGATATTCCTTCATTTTTAATAAACTCTCTTTACTATGCAGTAGGACTGTAGGAGCATAGATTTTTAATTGTTTGTTTGTTTTTTTTTTTTTTTTTTTTTTTTTGTTGTTATTATAGATTCTATTCCATCATTTAAAAAAATTATTTTTTTATTTTCTCTGATGCAAGTTCAATGACTTGTGTTCATATGACTATTAATTAATTAATATGACAGTATTGAGCTTTTTCAATGGGAATATAATAGCATTTGATATTTTATTAGTTGCTTTTTACTTGTCTCAGCAATTCATCTTCTTAATGTTTGTATTTAATTTCTAAATGTGCATGTAAACATTTCATTGCATTGCAGGCTCTTGGGATTTTGTGTGACACCGTGAAGGCCACTGGTGTCATAGATGCAAAGCGTGGGAAAAAAGAACTAACTTCAACCTCAAGAAATTCATGGATTCACCTTGATGAGGATTCTTTGGAAGTCTTTAACACGATGTGTTTAGTAATACTGAAGTTTATTGATGATCCTGCAAGTGACTCAAGCACTCAATTGAAACTCGCAGCAATTACAACAATTGAGGTTTTAGCTATCAGATTCCCTTCAGATAATTCAGTCTTCCACTTGTGCCTTGCATCTGTTTGTAAAAGTATTTGTGCAGACAATTCTGCTGTCTCTTCAGGTTGCCTTCGTACAACTGGTGCCTTGGTCAATGTGTTGGGCCCAAAGGCACTACCTGAGCTTCCATGTATAATGGGAAACCTGATACGGAAGTCTCGTGATTTCTCTAATTCTCTAACATCAATTTCTGATGAAACTGATAGCAGGTCTATTGCATTATCAGAATTAAGTGGCTCTCTATTTATGTCTATTCTTGTTTCCTTAGAAGCAGTTGTAGGTAAGCTAGGTGGTTTCTTGAGTCCATACCTGGGGGATATTCTTGAACTTCTTGTATTATGTCCGCAATATACATCCACAACAGAAGAGAAGTTGAAGATAAAAGCTGATGATATACGCAGGCTCATAGCGAGTAAAGTCCCTGTAAGTGTCTGCAAAACATTTGATTTGACATTGGCTTGATATCTTGAATATCTTTTTATATTTACTCGATGTTTTTATCAGGTTCGACTTTCCCTTCCACCTTTGTTGAAGATCTACTCTGATGCTATTAGTTATGGGGATTGTAGTATATCTATTACTTTCAAAATGCTTGGGGACCTGGTCACTACAATGGACAGACCATCTATTGGTGGCTATCATGCAAGGATTTTTGACTTGTGTTTGCAAGCTCTTGATCTTCGTCGTCAGCGCAAGACTTCTGTTAAAAATATTGAGCTTGTTGAGAAAAATGTAATTAATACAATGGTGGTTCTCACTATGAAGTTGACAGAAACGATGTTCAGGCCTCTTTTCATGAAGAGTATTGAATGGTCAGGCTCAAATGTGGATGATAATGAAATAAGGAGGCCAAATGATCGCACTATTTCTTTCTATGGCTTGGTAAACATGTTGGCTGAAAGTCATCGGTGAGTCCCTTGGTTGTTTTTGTTTGGTATATTCTCCCTGCATTGCTAGAATTTTTTGGTTTAAAGGATAAAGAATTAGAGACAGTGATGTACTGATGTGGCTACCATTGAACACACACACGCAATCAGCACCATCCCCTAGTGCATGGCTGCCTCTCTTCTAACAAAAAGGAAATTTGAAACTTCTCTTGGAATTATTACTTATCTGAAACACTTGAATCACATGACCTAGGTCGATGAGTTAGCCATGTGCTCTCAACTGATTGGTAGGTCATCTATTTAAATGTTTGAATAAATTTTGATGGAATCTTGTTTTCAAACATGTTGCTAGGTCATTGTTTGTCCCATACTTCAAGTATTTGCTTGACGACTGTGTAAGACACCTCACTGATGCTGAAGATGGAAAAATTGTTCTTGCCCCAAAAAAGAAAAAGGCCAAACTTCTAGAAGTGAACAAGAAGGATGCAGGATGTGGTTTATCTGTTGAAATGTGGCATTTAAGAGCACTGATTTTGTCTTCGCTGCAAAAATGTTTTCTTTATGACACTGGAAACCAGAAATTTCTTGACTCTTCCAATTTTCAGGCAAGTTACTAGATCCCCATTTACTGCATGCTCAATGTTTGGATATTGTGTTGAAGGGGGGTTTTAGTGAATGTTGGGGATTATTATTATTATTATTATTATTATTTTTGGGTATTCTTTCGAAACAGTTGTGTTTTACCTTAAAGCATATAGTTGCAGCCTGGTGTTTTAGGTTTGTAATTATCTTGGCAAGAGAGCAAATTGCGTTTTGGTTAATTTACGCACCATGTGTTTGTTCAGGTCCTATTGCAGCCTATTGTGTCGCAGCTAGACATAGATCCACCAAGTTTGTTAGAGCAGCATCCAAGTGTGCCATCTGTGAAGGAAGTTGATGACTTGTTGGTTGCATGTGTTGGTCAAATGGCTGTCACTGCTGGGTCTGACCTCCTGTGGAAGCCATTGAACCATGAGGTTAGTAGTTGGTCTCTTACTCCCTCCGTCCGGTCCCAGATAAGCAATGCAATGCATTGCATAGGAGAGTTGATAGGTTTTAGATGGGTGGTGTTATGAGCGAAATGTTAATTTTGTAATTTCAGGTGTTGATGCAAACTCGAAGCGAAAGAATTCGTAGCCGCATATTGGGGTTGAGAATCGTCAAGTATTTGGTGGAGAAATTGAAAGAAGAATATTTACAGTTTTTGGCAGAAACAATTCCATTCCTTGGTGAGTTGCTGGAGGATGTAGAGGTGCCCGTGAAATCCCTTGCACAAGAGATTCTTAAGGAGTTGGAATCAATGAGCGGAGAAAGCCTTGGACAATACTTATGAGAACTTGGCTTGGCTTGGCTTGTGTACACTAACCAATTATAGGCTTCACTCCAGTATAATATAATATACGGAGTAAAAATTTTGAGATGAAAATTTTCGTTTAAATTTGGGTAGTACAAGTGCAGTGCATGGCACAAACATGTGCATGTGCATGTGCTTCCCACTTTCCGCATACCTCTCACCATAGATTTGCGTGCTTGTCTGTATTAAAAAAATTTATTTTAGTTTCTACAACTACTTAACCTTACACCATAGATGTTGATGGGGGGAACAAAATGTAGGGTGAATTCTGAGTCAAATGTCCATTCATTGAATGCAATAACACTTTTAATTCACAATAACCTATTAAAGTAATGCATTTTGATTATATAATAATAGGGGAGTACTGACTCCCGCATTTTGAGGAGCTGACTTTGAAAATAATAGTATGCTTCCTAGCTAGTGCTCCTATACTCTATACTAGCCTACCCATTCAACTTAATTACACTAAACTAGCTCCTCTGAAACCCCTGTTCAAGTGAGGTAATCGCAAGTTGCTCAATACTTTTTAACTTGTTATTGATTGTATTGTACTATTGAATTTTACTTTGCAAAAAACTCGATAGGGAAAAGAACAAATGCTAATGAAAAGAAAAAAAAAAAACAGCCTAGTGGTAAAAGCACAAAGGTTAATTAGAGTTGAGTAAACTAATGAGTGGATGTTAGATGGGGGGCAGAGTAGTAATAAAGGTTGCGACAAAAAATGTGAGGGAAGCCAATTTTCATTTCTCGAGCCCTGCATGCATGCGGGAGTTGCGTTTAATGCTTAATGCTTTCGTCAAATATCACTTTTTTTTTTTTTTTTTTAACCCTAAATTAAAAGAAAAAAGTAGTGGCTAGTGCATAGTGCATACATGCATACTGACTGCTATAAATACTTGGTTGCTGCGGGCGTCTAATCTGCACCCTCCCTCTGGCCTCAGTTCATTTCAGCTCCACCCACCAAAGTCAACAATCCATTTTCATCAACTACTTAATTAAGGCAAACGTTTCCGGCCATATATAATTAAGCACAAACTACAACTTATATTATGTCGTCGACGACCACCACCACATCTAGGTGAACTCCGATCCATATATATGCATCTACTCTTTTATTATTCGTATAATAGTAGTATAGTTGCAACTCAAAACTAACCGCCGGGCGGGCGGGCGTAAGTAAAGTAGTGATTATATATATGCATGCATGCAGGAGGTTGGAGGGTAAGGTAGCACTTATTACTGGTGCGGCCAGCGGCATTGGGGAGGCGGCGGTGAGAGTTTTTGCAGAGGAGGGTGCATTGGTGGTGGCGGCGGATGTGCAAGATGAGTTGGGACATCGACTCGTCCAATCCATTAATAATAATAATAACTCAGCTCAGGCTGAGGTTTGTTATCATCACTGCGACGTAAGAGACGAGAAGCAGGTGGAAGAGACGGTGAGTTACGCGGTGAGTAGGTATGGAAGACTGGACATATTGTTGAGCAACGCCGCCATAATGGGGCCCATGGCCGGCATCATGGAGCTTGACCTCCAAGGTTTGGATGACACGATGGCAACCAACGTGCGTGGTGTGGCGGCAACCATCAAGCATGCGGCTCGGGCAATGGTGGCTGGGAGAACACGAGGGTCCATGATATGCACGAGCAGCGTGGCGGGGTGCTTGGGAGGCTCCGGTCCTCACGCTTACACAACCTCAAAACACGCGATTGTGGGTCTGGTGCGTTCTGTTTGCAGCGAGCTGGGAGCTCACGGGATAAGGGTTAACTCTATTGCCCCCTTCGGTGTCGCCACTCCGTTGTCCTGCAAAGCTTACGGGTTGGACCCAAGTCAAGTGGAGGCAAACACCTCTGCCATCGCCAACTTGAAGGGGATTGTTCTCAAGCCTGCCCATGTCGCCAAGGTTGCTTTATTTCTTGCTTCCGATGACTCTGCTTACATTAGCGGCCAAAACTTGGCCGTTGACGGTGGATATACGGTGGTTACCCACAGCCCCGCCCACTTCATCCCATCCGATTAATTAATTAATTACTTAGCTAGCTTCCCATCCCTCAGCTCATCCTTAATTCCGTGTTTGGATTACCTTACCTGTACTCCATCTGCATGCATTAATTATTTTGAAGTCAACGCCTGCAGAATTGAATTGCTTGCATGTGCGTTTCCTTGTAATCAGCAGCATCTCATCTCATGCATTTTAATTTTTTTTGAAACCAAAGCAACGGACATTATATTATTAATAAGGAGAAATGATAAGGGGGGCATGCTGGCAGCAGTGCAATCGGGGTTGGAGTTGAGTTTCTATGTTTAATGCATGCATTATTCCTGCCTGCCACTGTCCGATGCTGCTACTGCTGGCTGCTCCAATCCAAATAGGCTTTTATCATGAATCATTCTGCTTACTAATAAATTTTTTCAGATCTTTTTCCTTTTCTAAGTTTGGATATGTCTTAACTCTTTAATGAAGTTTCTGGTTTTCAAAAAAAAAAAAACAAATTTGTTCATGTTTGCAGAGGGAGCATAATTTTATGTGGAAGAGTATTTTTGGTCTTAAGATAAGTAGATTCTACCAAATAAGTAAACGTTGACACTTCTTTTTCCCTTTTTCTCATCTTCTCTTTCAAAAGCTCCTCAAAATCTGTTTATTGAAGATGCTCTATAAATGCAATTTTTAAAACCTGGCCTGGCCTCCATTTTCACATTGATCAATCAATCAAATACCGCAGTGATTGATTACTCTAAAATCCACAGCGTATGTGCGCATTCACATCATTATTAAGCCTTCCCTCCCCCAGGAGGAAAGCATGAAAGAGGGAGTATATGTATAACCCCAGAAGCAGCCCCCTCTCCTCCTCTCGAAATCATTACTATCTCAACCATTCAACAACCCCCCTCACTTCATTGGCTGGTCTACAGCCAAAGTTCTGATTAGTAATATAATTAACTTATTAATCAATTTTGATCACTATTAGTGGTTTGACTTGTAACAAGTTATGCTTTCAAAGGTTAAAATTCAAAAAATTACTAAAAGAAGCTAATCATTTTGTATTACAACTGATGGGGATAATTCTCCGAACGTCATGCCTATACGGTGATCGGTTTCAGCCGACCTATTTAGCATGCTTTCCCGATCACTTAATGCCCACCTAGCTCCGCCAGAGGAGGGATTCGGAAAGGACTTCACGAACTCGGGAAAACTGACCTTTTTAGGTCAAACCAACCATCTAGTGCCTCTTAGCATGTCACAACACACTTAGAAACATCATGACATGCAGCCAGGGCCCCTTGGACCCTTGCCAGGGTGCGTGCAAGGTGTCCATGTGCCCAACATGCCGCTGACCCAAAATTTGTCCCCTAGCAACCGTTATAAATACCACATTTATTTATTGTTGTCAGGATGGACTTTTGGCTTTTACTATGCTATGGTTATTAGCTCGGAGACCTCTAACTCACTATCATATCGACCTTGACCAGGCTATACTCCTTAAACCAACAACCAACAAGCAAGCAGACCAAACATAGGATCCAAATCCAGAACCAACCTTGAGATGGTAGATTGTAGATAATACACCCCATATTTACTACCTCAACAACAAGCTAGTTAAATCCGTTAACCCAATCCGCTAACAGTTATCAACTATTTACCAAACATCTCAAGAGTCTCCCCTTGGCGGGTGGGTGGGGCTTACTTGAACAGCGACGAGGCAAGGCGAGTTTAGTTTAATTTAAGATTATATATATAACTAATACGTGAAACAGCAACAACAACAAAAACTACTACCCCCTAAGATCATTAGAAAACACAAGCATCTATGAATCATCCTTGCCATAATTCAAAGCATGCATACAATAACCAAACCACAAGCTAGCTAGCTAGCTGCAACCTAACTCTATAAATTTAGAATCATCCACCGCCCCAAATTCATGTGTTGCCTGAGAGGAAAAAGCTAACCGCATACTCTTCTATTATTAGACCAAAAGCAAGGAATATACCATACATGTCACACTTTGAAATTTAACCGACCATCATTAATCTACGCTCAACAGATTTCATTCATTCAATCGTATATAATGGAGCAATATATCAGTTCAATAAACCAAACAAACATTAGAGTTTAGACCTTACATAACTGACATTATCCAGTAAAACTTCAGTCTCCATATTTCAAATGCGAAAATACAACATATAACGAAACTCAGTATCAATACTCAAAACTTTGATCGATCATGGATGGAGGAGTGATCAGTGATCAATCGGAACCAGCTTTATTGTAAACATATGTGAGGCCGCACTTACCACAGTAGTGACGATCGAAGTGGTTGGCCATGAAGGTGCCAGCGCCGCACTCAGCATTGGGGCACTCCTTCCTAAGCCTCTGCACCTTCCCGGACTCATCTACCTTGTAGAACTGCAGCACCGCCAGCTTCACCTTCTTATGCTTGTGCTTGATCTTCTTCGGCTTGGTGTAGGTCTTCTTCTTCCTCTTCTTCGCGCCACCACGGAGGCGAAGCACCAGGTGGAGAGTAGACTCTTTCTGGATGTTGTAGTCCGCCAAGGTCCGCCCGTCCTCCAGCTGCTTTCCGGCGAAGATGAGCCGCTGCTGGTCAGGTGGGATTCCCTCCTTGTCTTGAATTTTCGCCTTCACATTGTCGATGGTGTCGGAGGATTCCACCTCCAGGGTTATGGTCTTCCCCGTCAGGGTTTTCACGAAGATCTGCATCTTTGCCTGCTGGAAGAGACGCCGACGCCTCCTTGTCTTCTGTTCCTGTTCAACGATTGATTAATGGCGATGGATGGATGGATAGATCAGTTTTTAATACCCCTTTGTTAGGGTTTTTCATAGGAATTTGGGCTAGCCTAATATCTGCCCATATATATTATTGGGCTTCCAATTTCTCCAATTCATATTTTCCGCCTATTTCATTTATCTCCAAATTGGTCCGTCAAAAGCCCAATCTGGAACATACGGCAAATTATATCGTGCACCGCAGTGCATAATTGATTATGCACTGCGCATCAAAACGGCGTCGTTTTATTTAATGAAAAGAAATAGAATTTGTTTTGCACCGTTCCACAAAAAATAGCTCTATTCTTCAGTTTCATTTTGTATACACTGCAGTTTCAGTTCAACACAACTACAGTTTCATTCAATATTTATACACTCAAATATGTGAAAATGTTATTCAATTTTATTTTATATATACTATAGTTTCATTAAAACACAATTACATGATCATTTCAATATAATTACAGCTTCATTGTACAATATACACTCAAATATGTGAAGTGTTATTCAGTTTCATTTTATATATACTGCAGTTTCATTTCACCACAACTACAGTATCATTTTGATATGACTGCAGTTTCATTTGATAATATAAAAATAATACGTGAGACAGTGTCGGTTTAGATACACTGTAGTGTCACTCCGTTAACACTAACAGCACGCCGTTTCTTTACTTAAAGAAACGGTGTCGTTTTGATGCGCGGTGCATAATCAATTATGCACCGCGGTCCACGATATAACGACTGGGAACATACTTGCACTTCACTCGCCCAATTCAATCTCATTTCTACCACTCCCTTCTCCACGAAAAGCAAAATTCCCTCGCCCCCACAACCCTCATACAAAATTTAACAGAGTAATGAAGGAGTAAATCACACGAGTACTCAACAACCTACTCCGTATCTCTCTCTCTCCCACACACACACACATACAATATAGCATCTAGACATGATACTGCAACCATGACCTATACATCCAAACAAATTGTCACCTATCAATCGTGCACGATTTACGATTTACCTCTACAATAGTTATGCCCATAGAATTCACGGGCCTTAGGATTAATCCGTCAAAGTTGAGATCACCTAAATTTAAAAATTAAAAGAAAAAAAAGAAAAAAAAAAGAGAAGATGATGGATGGCTGAATGACCATCCAATCAAATTATTACGACTGCTCTTTTGTACACGTGGATTCATTTCTGCCGTAGACTTGTTGAATGGAGAGTTTTAACTTTTAAAGCTTAGCTTTATTACTATTTCTTCCGTTCCGATCCTGAGAATTGAAGGAAAAAAACATTATGATTTGATTTGCAACTTCTACAGCCCAAGGATACCGAAAGAACTCACTCTGTTGTTGCTATCAAACCAAATATTATTAAAGTGAAAAGAACGTAATTATTTATTCCACTGCCTCAACTTACTTTCTTTTTCTACTTATTTTATCATCACTAGTGGAACAAAACTATTACTTTTTATTATTTTTACAACCAAGTATTATTAGGTTTAATAATTACCCCAAAAAAAAGTCAAATTTTGTGGTTGGTAGCAATTTTATTAAACATTTTCAATATATTAATAATTCCCTAGAATAATCGTATATATATTAGCTTCAAGCATGCTAAGTAGTTTTTTATTAATGTACGAGGTTAAGGTTTCATACCGCATTGCCTCATGAAGAGTTTAACCATGCTTAGTTAGTCTAAATATCAACTATATCTAATATTGATATTTTAGGACCATAATCCAGAAACCAAGTTCGGTTTTGTTTCTACATACCTAATATTTGTTGGACAGTTCAAATATTTTATTATTATTAGTACTTGTTATTTATAATATATTGAAATTTATGCTTTAAAAATTATATTTTCTCTTTAAAATCAAATGAAATTAAATATGTAAATTAAAATATGCAAAGTAGCTTGAAGCTCATTGGCATGGCAAATTATGCTGTGCATCGGTATGCACCATGCATGGTGCATACGGATGCAAAAACGACGTCGTTTTATTAAAAACGCGCGTCTCATCTTAAAAAAAAAAATTCAAGTTCGATTCCCAACAACAACATATGAACTAAAATTCCAGAATCGATGAACTATAATTCCAGAATCGATTAACTATAATTCCAGAATCTATGAACTAAAATTCCAGAATCTAATCTATGAACTAAAATTTCAGAATCTATGAACTAAAATTTCAGAATCGATGAACTACAATTCCAGAATCGATGAACTATAATTCCAGAATCAATGAACTAAAATTCTATAATCTATGAACTAAAATTCCATAATGAATAAACAACATAATGTTGTTGCTGGGAGTCGAACCTGGATTATTTTTTTTGAAGGGGAGACACGCGTTTTTTAATAAAACGACGTCGTTTTTGCATCCGTATGCACCATGAATGGTGCATACGGATGCATAGCATAACTACTCCATTGGCACTTATGTGACTCTCTTAAATAGGAGGTTACATGTTTGAACCCCAATATAGACTATATAGTTAATATTTTATCATCTTTAAAAATTTTTGTGATATATATATATATATATATATATATATATATATATATATATATATATATATATATATATATATATAGTTAGATTCATGTACGTATAGTGTTTCTGTACGATCACGCACCACAAAGTGTTTGAAAATACATTATTAGATGTGATGCATTTATGTATAGCATGCAATTTGCATTCATTACACGTGAAATCATATTCTTATTTGAATCAGTATATATTTATTTATTTATTTATTTATATTTATTTAGTGATCAAATGGCACCATTTTTAACCGTCTATTGGTATATGAAAGCCGGTAAAGAGTGAAAAATGGTGCCATTTGATCACTAAAACATGGGACAACACAGCATTAGCGCGTCTTCCGGGCCAATTAATGTTCCCACTTCCACTACCTAATTATATATGCTCCGATCCTATCATTGCTTCTGCATGCAGGCCAGGCCAGGGTGTGCGCATTTAATTATATATGCATACACTATATGTACTAATTGGCCGAAATTAAAATACCAAAATACTAATAATTTATTAACATAATTACCTAATATAATTGTGTTACTTACACTTTAATTTCTTTTTGAAAATTATACATACATACATACATACATACATATATATATATATATATATATATATATATATATATATATATATATATATATAAGGGATCAAGTGCAAAACGTCTCCCAGACGAAACATGCGGATTAGTGATAGCCATTGATCTTGACAAAATCAACAACTCAGAATGAAGATACATTAAAAAAAACACGGTGGTATAATGGTAATTTTGCGTATTGTAGAAAGATTAGGGTGCATAATTATAAAGTTTAAAGTGTGCGTATCGTAAAAACACGGTGGAATGCCGTGCGCCAGAAGTCAACGACTATTATGTCTTATGCTGGGGTCACAGTCGACCATTGTAGGTCATTGATGGCTATGTTTACTTATAGTTCGTTAAATTATGTTTCTAGGCAGGTTAATTCACATGCGCATGTTTTAGCTTTTGCTTAGGATCAGTTTATGGTGTGGGATTCAATCCCTCCTGACTCTATTGCAGCTTTGCTTCATTAATACAATCATTTATTGGTTGGCTTTAAAAAAAAAAAATTTAAAGTGTGTATTTTCAAAGCTTAATTAAGATGCGTTCGTTTCATACTTAAGGTGCGTCAGTTCTACATTTAAGGTGCATAAGTTATAAATTTAAGGTGCGTCATTTCAACACTTAAGAAACTATGTATGTTATCATTGTCTTTTTGAAAAAGGAGGATTTGGTTATGTTTTTGAAGATGCATTGCGTCAAGACACTAAAATTACAATGACGCACACCATGAGACTATATCAAATCAAAAATTCATTTATGGCAGAAATGGCAACAAGAAACATGTATCGCGCAAATTAATTGGGTTGTGTTGCAAAAACTATGCTTAGGTACTATCCAATGAGGGTGCTTCCCTCTAAAACTGCTATTGCACAAGTTACTCCAACATTTCAGCCACAAGTCATAGTTATACATTCTTGAAATATTTACTTTTATGAAAAAATTGATAATCTTACATTGATATACACCATGATATACCGAATGATACTTTGATAAATTATGAAACACTAATTTAAAAATACACATTGAACATTGGGCTATTCGCGCAATACCGTGTGGTATGTGTGTGTGTATAATATTTAAGGATAATAATAATAATAATAATAATAATAATAATAATAATAATAATAATAATAATAATAATAATAATAATAATAATAATAATAATAATAATAATAATACACATCTTGTATTATTATTGAATATTTTAATTTGGTATATATTGTGAGCCCTACTTAACCAACACTTTCCCATATTTAACAATAACTTATGAAGTTTTTGTTGTTTTCTTTTTCTTGGTAGATAGACTCCAATAATGTTTTTGCACAATATAATACATAATGACACTTTGTAATTACTTAGTTAATCATTTCACCAACTTTTGATTTTGTTAATGGTAGGATTGGTAGCAATTCAATACGCCAGGGACGACGTTAATGATTAGAATGATGACGTTGGAATATATATATATATATTATATATACTAGTATTTTATATGCGCAATTCGTAAAAATATATGTTCAATATTAATATTAATGTTAATTTTTTAAAAATAATTGTGTTTGTGTGTATATATATTAAATTTATATATAGTTATAGCTAGATTTTATTTTATATTATATTAAGAGTATAATATAAATGGCGAACTGACAATTCCTATTTAAACAGCCTGTTTGAACTGATTTTTTCTTTTTTTGGGTAAATTTTATTTTATATTCTTAAAATAGTTCAAATTTAAAAATTATTTGTTAAAGAATTTGTTCATTTTGGAATTATAAAAATAGTTATATTAGATATTTAAACTTTAAAGTTAAACTATAAAATAAAATTAATTTTGGGCTTGCATTTGATTTTACCAAAAGAGTTAATTCCAGTAATGGTCTTCCGACTATATTGATTTTTTAAAATTAGTCATCATCGATTTTTAATTTGGACACTTTACGTCTCTTGACTTTCAATTTATGTTCAATTGGGGTCCTTTCGTCAGGTAAATTAGACTTTAAATGAAAGGATAAAGTAGTCATTTCATCTGTCTAATGTATAATTCTTCGTATTTCTCTCTTGTATGCGCAACTTCGGACATCAGATTCACTTAATTTATATATTTAAAATTACATTAAAATACTACTATTAAACATAAAAAATCAAACTAAAAATTAATAAAGAAAATAAGTAATGAGACAGAGGGGGTAATATTTTATTTGTATGAAATAATGCCGTGTTGGGTTGTAGTTTTTGAAACGTTGATTGGAGGATGGGGGAATCTTAGACTTTTTTCAAGCCTTTTCCTTTTTTACTTTCTCATCTTCTGTTTTCTTTCTGGCATTTAAAAAAAAAAAAAATAAAATTGTTTATGTATATGTTTGTCGTATCATGGTGTAGAGCGGAGAGTAATGGACCATGTTTGTGAATATCCTCCTATTCTCTTTGACCCCAGAATTTCACTCATTTGCCAGCTATCTGTCTCTCCATCTCTATATATTTGGACCTTTCCTCCCACCCTTCCTTCACCCGCACACTTCGCTATTTTTTGCTTACAAACGAACACTCTTAATAATCTGCCTCCCTGTACGTTGAACCTCCAACACTCTCCAATTCAATCTCCCACTGCCTAATCCATCGTCTCTTTTGATGCACATACTTGCGTGCAGTATCTATCAAGTTGACATATCTTTTAGTTTCCCAATAAACAAAAGATCAGATAGAGAGAGAGAGAGTTGAAATCTTTTGGTGAAAGTGCAGTAGACGTGGCCATGTTCTGCACATTATGATCAAGCAAGGCTTTAGTTTTCGTGATCGAAAATACTGCTTTTCAATTATATTCCCAGATCGATCATATAAAGCTAGCTAGCTTGCTTTGTCAATACTCATTAATAGTAGTGTATTCATCATATCGACTCTAGCTGCAGCTATGAGCTGTGTTGTTGGGTGAAATCACTACTGTAGTATTCTTTTTCTGAAATTGAAAAAGAAAGGAGAAAATTACTTTGAGCCCGGCGGGCCGGCCGGCCTAGCAAATCTCTCGATCCGACGACGACCGAGCATACAATACGTAGGAGTAGCAAGCAAGTGCAGTTGTAGTCTCATGGAAGAGACGTTTGTACCTTTTCGTGGGATCAGTAATGACCTTCGTGGAAGACTACTGTGTTACAAGCAAGATTGGAGCGGTGGATTCCGTGCTGGCTTAAGGTATCAACTCTACCTACTTCTTGTATATACCTACGTGCTCAGAAAAGCAAAAAAAAAAAAAAACAAAAAGCCCATTTCTTTATCTATCTATCTATCTATCTAAGACGTACTGAAACATACAGGATCTTGGCTCCGACCACCTACATATTCTTTGCATCAGCAATCCCGGTCATCTCTTTTGGCGAACAGCTCGAGAGGAATACTGGTAATCGCCATTTTCATTCATACAATAGTCTTATTTTATGAGTTGAGATGGATGAGATAGAATTTCAAGAATTTATTATTATATGTATATGGATGAATTGGTAATGAATTAAAATAATCCTGTAGATGGAGTTCTTACTGCTGTTCAAACGTTGGCGTCAACTGCAATTTGTGGCATTATCCACTCCATCATCGGAGGTCAGCCTCTGTTGATATTGGGAGTGGCGGAGCCTACTGTTATCATGTATACATTCATGTTTACTTTTGCCAAACAAAGACCAGATTTGGGGCGTGATCTCTTCCTTGCATGGACTGGATGGTTAGTCACTTAATAATTATTATATACATATATAGTGCTTTTCTTTCCAAGACTTTCTGATTGATGCTTAATTACATTCGATCTGTATCTAACTAATTATTTTCTCGATCAGGGTATGTGTGTGGACTGCAGCTTTGCTCTTCCTGTTGGCTATTTTAGGAGCTTGCTCAATTATTAACAGGTTTACTCGCCTGGCTGGAGAGCTGTTTGGGATGCTTATTGCCATGCTTTTCATGCAGCAAGCTATCAAAGTAAGAATAACATACATCACCATATATATAGCTAGTTTCCCTTAATTAATTAGTCCTAGCCTATTGGCCCTGTTTGATAAAATAGTTAGCCTATCAACCAATTTTAACTTATTTGATCGCTATTAGCTGTTTGTAACAACTTATTGTTTCAAAATGCTAAAATTCAAAAAGTGCTCAAAGTAACTTTTTCCATAAACTTTTTGAGAAAGTCATTTTGTATATAATCAGTTAATTAACAACTAATTTACCAAACACTTTTACATAATCAGCTAATGTTATCGACTAGTCAAACTCACTAACCCAATCTGCTAACAACTATTTACCAAACAACCCTAGTGTATATTTCTACTATACATTACTGATTCAGGCTTCTACTTTTTGATAAAGTGGCATGCTAGCTAGCTAAAAGTTGTAATATTCTTTTCACTTGTTGCCCCCACTGCCTATCATAGTACTATTCTAAAAGTTTTTCATTTTTGCCACGTAATTGTTTGTTTGTTTTTTCCATCTTTCTTTCTTATTCTGATGTTCTTCCCTTTCCCCTTAGGGACTTGTGGATGAGTTCCGCATTCCTAAACGAGAAAACCCCAATTCAACTCAGTTCATGCCTTCATGGAGATTTGCCAATGGAATGTTTGCCTTGGTTCTGTCATTTGGTCTGCTTCTAACTGCATTAAGAAGCCGAAAAGCAAGGTCATGGAGATATGGAACTGGTAATTAACTACACATATATGCATGCACAAATTTGATATATATGACACTACTTTACTTGTGTCACCTCTGCAGATCAGATGCTTAATCTTATGATTAATTTTTCCATTCACAAGTTTAGTTTGTACTTTATAATAAATATATATCTCATTCATGATATATATGTATATATATACAGGTTGGCTTAGAAGCCTAATAGCTGACTATGGAGTTCCAATTATGGTGCTAGTTTGGACAGGGGTATCCTACATACCATCTCAAAGTGTCCCAGAAGGGATTCCACGGCGCCTCTTCAGCCCAAATCCTTGGTCACCCGGTGCATACGGGAATTGGACTGTTATTAAGGCATGTTACTTAGTTTCTGGGTTACGTTGGAATGATATATTTCAATCTCACATCTCTTAAATTATTCTTCTTTAATTTACTCTGATCGATCCATGAAAGAATAATTAGTATGTATGTTATGATCCTTGTGGCAGGACATGTTAAATGTGCCTATTATCTACATATTTGGAGCTTTTGTTCCCGCAACGATGATTGCAGTACTGTACTATTTTGACCACAGTGTGGCCTCTCAACTAGCTCAGCAGAAAGATTTCAATCTGAGAAAGCCACCTTCTTTTCATTATGACCTGCTTCTATTGGGTTTTTTGGTATGCAAAATTCATTATATTGCATCTGCCTGCTTTCACAACTACTTATTTTAATTTGCTGATCGATTCTTAAGATGTTGTGTTTTGCTTACCTGTTTCTTAATTGGTGGCCTGGCACGCAGACTCTGATGTGTGGTCTTATTGGTATCCCTCCATCAAATGGTGTAATCCCGCAATCTCCAATGCATACTAAAAGTTTGGCTACTCTTAAACACCAAGTAATTACCTTTATCTCCATGTGAAATCATTCTTTGTTAGTTAGTTTAGCAGAATTAGACACAACATACATGCATGCATATATGATTCTTCTTCTTCTTTGATCTGTAACTCACAAAAGTTACATTCTATATATGTTGAAAGTTGCTTCGGAACCGACTTGTTGCCACAGCACGCCAAAGTTTGAAGAACAACTCAAGCCTGGCACAATTGTATGGAAATATGCAAGAAGCTTATCAATGGATGCAAACTCCGTTAATCTATCAGCAATCATCAACAGTATGTTACTATACATATCTCATCTCTTCATAATTTCCATATAGTCCGTCTTGATGCATGTAATCTGAATTTGTATGTTTCATTTTTGTCCTGATAGGGGCTAAAAGAGATGAAAGAATCAACGATTCAATTGGCATCAAGCTCTGGACACATTGATGCACCAGTTGACGAAACACATTTTGACATTGAGAAGGAAATTGATGATCTGTTGCCAGTAGAGGTGAAAGAACAGCGGTTGAGTAACCTGCTTCAGGCCACAATGGTGGGTGCGTGTGTTGCTGCAATGCCTGTGTTAAGAATGATTCCAACCTCGGTGTTGTGGGGATATTTTGCTTTTATGGCCATTGAAAGTCTACCAGGCAATCAATTTTGGGAGAGGATCTTACTGCTCTTCACTGCACCTAGCAGAAGATACAAGTAACTAATTACTTCTTCATTCAAATACCATACTAGTTCAGTTCATCTTTAATATAATGGAAATTTTGATAACAATTAAGCATTATTGTGTTGGGTGCATTCAGGGTTTTGGAGAACTACCATGCAAGTTTTGTGGAGACTGTGCCTTTCAAGGCAATTGCAACATTTACAATATTTCAGACACTGTACTTGCTTGCTTGTTTTGGGATAACCTGGGTTCCAATTGCTGGGCTCCTTTTCCCATTGCTCATTATGCTTTTGGTTCCGGTACGACAGTACATATTGCCCAAGTTCTTCAAAAGCGTACACCTTCAGGATTTGGATGCAGCTGACTATGAAGAGGCACCGGCCACTGCGCCATTCAACCTTCCCACGGTAATTAAATGATGACAAGTCCAGTAATATATATATATATAATTTTCTGCAGTAGTTTCACTAGTACTGTGTATCAGATGAGATGTTCTCACATAGCTAATTTGAATTGAAGGAGGACGAAGTGGGCACGAGAGCTTCGTATGCTGGGAGTGGAGAGATTTTAGATGAGATTATTACGAGAAGCCGTGGTGAGATCAAGCATATAAGCAGTCCCAAGGTAAGTAGTTCAACAGCAACGCCAGCAAGAGACGCAAATCTGCTTCAGAGCCCACGGTTATCAGGGAGAGCATATAGTCCCCAGATTAGCAGAGTGAGAGGAGAGCAAAGTCCACTTTCTGGGAAGAAAGGAGGTTTCAGCCCAAGAACAGGAGAAGTTACGAGACAATCTAATTTGGGGGGATCAGGACTCAGTCCTACTAGTAAATCCTGTTCAAATGGTCAGTGAAATTAAAGAAAGATTCAGATGGCTGCAACTGGCCGGATCCATGCATGTATGTTTAAAATGACTTATTAGTTTGTTTCAATTTGCTGTAATGAGTGTGATGATGTAAAATCTCTTGAGAGTACGTAAGTGCACCTGTAACATTACATTACATTACATTAGCTCTTTCCTTAGCTTAATTGTAAGAAGTTTGTAATAATCCTATCCTCCTAGCTACAACTGCAGCCTGCAGGTACTATATTGTACTGCTTCTTGTCTTCTATGCTTATTATAGTGTTCAGTTCAAGGGTGTAATGGATTTCAAGTGTTCCCTGATTATATTAAATTATGCTGTTTTTTGTTTTACCCATACTTCCTAGCTCAACAACTGAAATACATACTATATGTGTTTCAACTTCAACACTTATGCACGTGGAAATATTTTAATATATAATATCATTTTGAATTTAAATATTTTAATAAATCACGTTTTTTTCTAATAATAATAATACAATCACGTTATATGTATATTTACTCTTAACAGTTAAGGAATATAACCCATACCCTTTAGATCCCTCGCTCTTAGAAGCCCTAACATGAATGAGGTCTAATTGACGGCGGCCCAAATCCTATTGCCAAGGCGTTAATCCTATGGCATGATTGTGCATGAGCATTAGGATTTAGGAAACAAACTTAAGAAAAAGGGACATGTGGGCAATGCAACCCGAAAAAAATATGCTCTAATATGTAAGGACAATCTACAAAGAAGGTGGATGAGCTGAGAGAGAATTGAAAGAAAGGTTTCTATTGATTTAAGAAAGAGAACGAGATCCACTCTTGAGCATATATAAATAGGCCGTTAAAAGGTCATTATGAGAGATGAGCTATTGGCCGGAGAGTCTAGACACCTTTTATAAATTATAACATTCTCGATATAGCATCTAAACTTGTTTTCTTAGTAGAGAATTCTTCTTTGAGAAACTAAATACTCTCCCCAAAAAATAAAATATCTACCACATACAAAATTATTAAGAATAATATTTACTTGGTTCAACTATTATATTGCCTACATTACATATGTTTGATAATATTGTCATCTCTCAATAATATATGAAAAATATTCAGAATAACTTGAACCACTTAAAATTTGATGGTCAAAGCTAGGATTAGATACTGTGCACCCTTTGCATTACAAACCGACAACTCAAAGGTAATAGTATAAGAACTATGGAATGAATATACAGATCGAATCATCTTTATTGAATGACATAATTAAGCGATGCATTATGATTATCCTTCAACTACAAAAGCAGAGGCTAGAAATGCATGTCAAACAGCATTTCGAGTGAAGGGAAGAACACAATGGTAAGGGGAGGGGGGAGGGGGGGAGACTAGAAGGGTCCCCTGCGCCATACATTCTCAGCCTTACTTTGATTTGATATGACCCAGATCCAGAGTTAAAGCAAAAGAAAACAAAAAGAAAGAATTTTCTTGTAAAAGGCAAATGAATGAGTGGATAGGTTGGGCTGACTTAGGGAAAAGAAGTGGCAAACATTCGAGGTCATCTTCTAATCATTCCAGGACCTTTGTCCTCTTTTCTTTCTTTCTTTCAGAATATGCCAATACATTAATACATGCATAACACTGCCATAATTAAGTCCCTTGAAAACGATGTCCAAATTTAATGCCTTTAATCATGTACGATTTAACTTCCCCCGTCAAGCGTAAATCCCATCAATATTATCAAGTTTGAACCATAAATTTTCCTCGGACTCAACTAGAATATTAACAAAAGTTAAATATGTGACGGTCAGGTAATTATTGGCTAATCTTTTTTATCATGTGATCCACTGGGCCGGAACTACGATTTATATCATAGATCAGGTCCACATAGTATTATGAACCTTGATCGAAACGACGCAATACAAAATTTTATAAAACAAGACACATATACATGTTATATATGTATTTATTTTTCAAGTCTAATTTAAGTAGGTACATAATTTAGGTTCATAGGCATATAATTTCAGAACACAAGAAATAAATATTCATAATATAAGGATACAATTATTAATTTGTTTCAGATGAGAATACATAAGAAATGGGAGAGTATCTCACATCCCCTTATAATAGCTACAAACCTTTTGTGAATGTTATGTTACATTTCTAGGGGAAATTGCATAACTTGAACAAAAAATGAGAATCTTATATTCCAAAACAAATATAATTTTAATTATCTTATATAACCTAAACCAAACACCCCTAGCTAGTGTATTAAAATTATATCTTTAATATATTAAAAATATATTTATGTCAATGAACTACCTTACAAGATGGACCTTTGATCTATGGTATAATGATTGTGTATGACTTGGTAAGGCTGATAATTTATTATAATTCTACACTCTTTAATAAAAAAAATGATAATTGTACTCTATACAGTATAACTTTTATCAAGTGTTCATAATTGTACTCCTTAATAAATATTTCTAGTTCCGCGCACTCAGAACGAAAGGAAACAGAAAGGCATAGTGGGCCGATTATCATAATATCAGTCCAACAAGAACATCCACTTGCGTTTTGGCTAAGGCATCTAACATCTTTACTACACTGGATTTGGTTGAGCAACAAATAAAGTTGATTACACCATATTGGACAGTACGTCAAGTTCCCATTTCGGGACAGCTTTTGCAAAATGGGCTACCATTAACCAAATCATCATGGCCCAATGGATGGTTACTGAATAAAGCAGCTAAATCTGGGCCTAAATGCAAATACTCACTTTTGTAAAGGAGACCAATGTTTGAATCCGGACAGCAACAATATAGGAATTATACTTAAAATAGATAGATCTCTTGTGTGCATAGCAGTCTATCATTTGTTTTGTCTGAATTTACATTTTTTCAAATACTCTAACTGAGGTGCGGAGGACCTTGAGGTTAGTTGGGGATTCAACTGTTGAGATAAGAATATTATTATATAGATTATAGATGGTGGGTGGGTGGTGCATGCACCGACCGGAATCATCCGCCACCATTCTTCTTAATCTATATATCCGCATTCCCAGTCCCACTGGCCACTACTACTAAGTAAGCTAGGCGTCTGTGTGGGCCCGCCGCGCATGCACGGCGGCGACTCACTCATCCACTCAAATTATAGTATTATTTAAAACTGCTGCAGCGCAGCTGCTAGCTACTTTATTATCTCTTTTGCCATATCAATCAATGGACTTTGTGAAATCAATCCACCATCTTCCATCCATATACTACTACCATACCAACTTTACTAAGTGCTTCCTCCCTTTTTGTACTACCTACTTTATATTCTTCAAATACCTTATTTATTTATTATTATTCCTAGTACATCAAAGTTAGATCACAGACAGTTAACCATATTCCATCTTTCATTAATAACTATTGGAGCTTCGTTCTCAAATGGAATATTCCGTGGGAACACGTGAATATCTGACCACATGCACTAACCCTAACCCTAAATTTTATTTTGTAAGAAAAAACAGGATTTAATTTTTTTTTTTTTTCCAACTTCGATGATGAATCGCACCAGGCCATCCAGTAACATAACAAATTAAAAGAAAAAAAAATTATTATACTATTATTGTATATATGTTAAAATACATATATAAAGGAGATCACACTCTATGTACGCACGTGTCTTTGCCAATATAATCATCTATTGATAATACATATATAGATTTGTAGGACTAGATGGAATGAAGCACATACATACAGCACTCTAAAATATAATATAATGAAGCTATATCGTAGATGAGATATGAAGATCCACATGCATGCATGATTATATTAATTAGTGATTATTAATTAACAAGTGGAAAGGTGGTTTTCGGAGACAGAGCGAGGGAATCCCTCCAGCAAGCAGAAGACTGGGGGGATAGTGAGAGTATAGATCCCTCCATAAGCGTTCCAGCAGAAAGGATCCAACACCAGATCTCCCTGCGCCGGAAGAAGCTCTATGTCGGAGAGCGTTATATTTGTGCAGGGCACGGCGTCGCTGCACGCAAAATGCATGGGAGGGCTTCGTATGTCGTAGGTCCCCTTGATGCCGCTGTACTGTATGCCGGATATGGACACCGCCGAGGTTGTGTTGGCACAGTCGGAGGAGATGAGACAGTAAAACTGGTCGATTATTATGGGGTTCCTCACGTTGTCCATGTGGATGTTGTCGAATGTTACTTCTAATACTGCTCCCGAACCTCCTTGCCACGTCTTGATCCTAACTCCGTTGTCGGACTGCCTTATCACCGAGTCGCGCACTGTAATATTCCGCACGCAAGCTCGCGATTTGTGGTTCCCTAAACTCCCTATGCTGTACGTAAATTAAATGATTATAAAATTTACATGCAGCTAACTTTAATTTAATTTAGGTTATAACATATTACATACCTGATTCCATGGCCGCCAGGCCCACAAGTGAGATTCCTGATATCTACATCGTAACACCCCGATCCTATTGATACACAGTCATCACCTGCATGCAAATTAAAAAGATAAATTTTATATATAGAGTGCGTGGCCGGGTATGTATATATGAAGAAATTAATTAGAATATAATATAATGTTGTTTTTAGTTAATGGTTACCGTTGGAGATGAGAGAATCATAAATTTTAACGTTGTTGGTGTTCTCAATGTGAATGCCATCGGTGTTGGGGCTCAAGGGTGGAGCAGTGATGTGGATGGATTGAATGTGCACATTCTCGCAATTGTCAAATCTGAAGTTGAATTGGGGACTGTTCTTTATTCTAATTCCTGCCATCACTAAGTTGGAGCTCATGAAGAACCTTACAGCCTGCATGCAATGCAATATAATGCGCCCAATTCCATCATCATCATCAACAACAACAACAATATATTTTTATTAGTTTAATTAATTAATAGGCACTTTACTACCACTACTTACAATTGGACTGTCGCATGGTCCGGGCAGCGTAGTGCCATTAACTCCCTGCACATACATCATTGTATATACTACTAAGGCATAATTCATAATACTTGAAAATTGAAATTAAACGAGAATGCATGCATGCATATATACTTTGATCTTGCTTAGCTTAATATATATATATATATATATATATATATATATATATATATATATATATATATATATGTATCAATAAATTTTATTTAAAAAAAAAAAAAAAAAAAAAAAAAAAAAAAAAAAAAAAACCTTGTGAGGTTTGCAAGGTAGATTCCACCACCCTTCACCTCTTCCGTCAATTGTTCCTCCCCCTTGCACTGACAACTCATTAACTCTGTAGAAAACCAGCCATTGCCGCCGGCTCAGATTCTTTGCCCACGAC